CATGATGAGTGAAGGTTCTCAGTCAGTGGCAGACCCTGCTCCAGCCCAGATCCAGGCCCCAGCAAGCCCAGTGACAGTCCCCAGGCAGGCCCCAGGGGGTAAATGTCTGATAAAGGGGTAGGGGGATGTCTGGTGAAGGTGTTTAGTGGCACAGAGGTAGGGGGAGGGGGATCACTTAAAATGACACAGGAGGATCAGAGGGGGCAATCAAAATGATACAGGAGGATCAAAGGATTACTAAAATAGTAATCCCCCCTCTGATTCTCCTGTGCCATTTTGATCCTTCCCTCTAATCCCCCTGTGTCATTTTAAGTGATCTCCCTCCCCCGACCTTGATACCCCAATTCCTTTTTTTTTTTTACCCCTAGAAATGAGCGCAAAAAGAAAAAGCTACTCCGTGGAGTACAAGAAAGGAATTGTGGAAGACTCTTGGGGCCAAAATCTTACTGCTTTCTGCAAAGAGAAGATGTTGAGTATCCGATTGGTCTGAAAATGGCGAGCTGAGTTATGGTAACCTCATTGAACAAGTGGACAAGGGAAATGCTAAAAAGTGCAAGTGTGGATCAGGTCGGCAGCCATTATTTTCCGAGCTGGAAAACCTGATCTGTGAATGGGTTGTTGACAGGAGAGCAGAGGCTTTGGTTGTGAATAGGGCTCAGATTCAAGAATTTGCCCTTGCAATGGCACCACAGTTTGACTTAGCCCCCGAAGACTTCAAAGCATTACAACACTGGCTGGATATTTTACTTCAGCGAAGTGAACTATCTTTAAGAAGATCTACAACATTGTTTAGGTTGGAAGATACACAAGTTATTAAGTGAGCACTTGCATTCAGCTCCTTTATTGATGATGCTGACTTCTCTAAATACAATCTTTCCAACATGATTGCTATGGATGAAACTGCAGTCTTTATGGGCCAATCATCTCAAACAACAATTGAACAGCGAGGTGCCTCCTTAGTGTACATTCCCTCCACTGCTTACAAATGTGCACGTGTTTCCTGTATTTTGGCAATTCATCTGGATGGCACTAAAATCCCTCCTTTAATCATTTCTAAGGGCAAGAAGGAAAAGATTGAATGTGTTTTGGGCGTTTTTATTCTTGAAACTGAAAAAGCTTGGGCCACACAAGCAGTTATAAGGAAGTGGGTCGATTTAATGCTGCCTCTTGTTATGCGAGAGAGCCAAAGAGGTCTGCTAGTCTGGGATGTAGCCAGCACTCACCTCGCTAAAGACGTGAAGACATTTCTTCACGAAAGAAAAGTAGAACAGATAATGATTCCCGCAGAAATAACGGCCTGTCTCTCCAGACTCTTGATATTGCAATAAACAAGCCATTCAAAGACAATTTGCGCATGGAAATTAATGACTACATTGAAAATAGAATGGAGAGAAATCAGCGTGGAAACTTTGTGAAACCTAAACTGCAAGAAGTTGTGACTTGGGTGAAGAATTCATGGGAGAAAATCACTGACAGTTGCATTGCAAATGCACTGCGAGCAGGCTACCTTGACAAGAAGTACTCATTTAGCTGAAACCGGTTTGGCTCAATGGCTTGGGGACTGAAAGGCCCCGGGTTCGATTCCGGTCAGGGGCATGTACCTTGGTTGTGGGCATATCCCCAGTAGGAGGTGTGCAAGAGGCAGCTGATCGACAACTCTCTCTCATCGATGTTTCTAACTCTCTCTCTTCCTCTCTGTACAAAATCAATAAAATATATATATATATATATATATATATATATATATATATATATTTTAAAAATGAAGTACTCATTTAAAGACAGTTTGCTAAACATTAGAGATTTGGTCCACTGATTCTGAAAGAAATGGAATCACAAGAAATTCAACAGGAAATTCAGGAATTGGATTGTTATGATGATGTTCCAGAAGATGATGACATGATTGTCATTGAATAAATGAGTAAATTCTTGATACTGTAGAATTCACAGTTTGTCTGGTTTGTGTTGACAACAACCGTAGTACCGTCCCGTATACAGGTAATAAATTTCCTTTATCTTCCTTTAACAATAAATGTGTACCGTATTCTTTTTCATGGAAAAATAAGACATCCCCATAAATAAGCTCATCTTTGGGAGCAAAAATTAATATAAGACACTGTCTTATTTTCGGGAAAACAGGGTAAGCTCTGCAACCTGACACTCACTGGTACAGCTTCCTCTGCTGCCCTCCACCATCCTCCTTCACCCCCAACACACTCACTCACCAGCTCTGAGAGGGAGCCTGCCAGGCTCTGTGGCTTTGTTTATCTGTCAAGAGATGGTGGTTAGCAGACAACCAGAGGGGCACTTTTGTACTCTCTCTGCACAGGTTCCTTGGTTCAGCATCAGGCCTACTGACCACTCCTACTGCAAACACTCTCTCATCTCTGCTCACTGTATCTTTGTGCTCCTCCTGGGACTGGAAAGTGAGATCGGAGTTACACCTTTGGGCTGCTGGCTGTTTCCTGGGTGTCAATTCAGCGTTTTCTCTTTTCTCCTCCCTTGAACTCTTCTACTTTCTCATCTTTGGATGTTTCGATGCACAAATCTCTCAGGAATGTTTGTGTGTTGAGCACGTTGTAACGTACAGGGCAGAGTTAAATTATGGCTGTTCGAGTTGTAACTTACCGGACAGAGACCAAGGACGACCGTCACTCCCTAGATTTCTTTTTTTTAATGGAAGCGTTAAGTAATAGTGTAACCATATGTGATGCAAATTAAGTCTTTAGAGACTATCCCATGTATAAGGTGGAGGAACTAAAGGATATTAAACTAGTGTGGCAATTTAAGTACTAAAAAGGTTAGTGAAAAATACATTAAAATGTACTTGATCGCTAGGCAGATTATGGAACATATTATGTTTCTGTAAATTCTACTTTTTATAATGATTACTGTTGATAAAAGCAGCAAAAAAAAACAAAGCACGCGCGCGCACACACACACACACACACGCACCTTTTATTTTTAAACTCTAATATAATCTTGTAATCTTACTGAATAGATCTGTTTTCTCTCATATATCAGGTTACAGGCTCTATCCTGGCTACATTGGGCGTTTCTCTCTCTCTTGTCTCTCCCTCTCCTTTCCACTCTCTCTAAAAAAAAAAAAAAAAAAAAAAAAAAAAAATCAAAAAATATCCTCCCGCTGGCCTGATCACTCCCAACTGCCCTCCCCTGCTGGCCTCCCTAACTGTCATTCCCTGTCAGCCATCTTGTGGCAGTGTTACATGAGGGTGAAACAACACCTAAGCTTTTATTATATAGGACTAGAGGCCCGTTGCACGAAATTCATGCACGGGGTGAGGGGTGTCCCTCAGCCCAGCCTGCACCCTCTCCAATCTGGGACCCCTCGAGGGATGTTAAACTGCCCGGGCAGTCGGACATCCTTCTCACAGTCCAGGACTGCTGGCTCCCAACTGCTCGCCTGCCTACCTTCCTGATTGCCCCTAACCACTTCTGCCTGCCATCCTGATCACCCTCTAACCCCTCCCGTGCCTGCCTGATTGGTGTCTAACTGCTCCCCTGCCAGTCCGTTTGCTCCAACTTCCCTCCTCTGCCAGCCTGGCCACCCCTAACCACCCTCCCCTGCACGGTTGATCATCCCCAACTGTCCTCCCTTACAGGCCTGGTGCCTCCCAACTGCCCTCCCCTGCAGGGTTGATTGCCTCCAACTGCCCTCCCTTGCAGGCCTGGTGCCTCCCAACTGCCCTCTCCTACTGGCCATCTTGTGTCCACATGGGGGCAGCTATTGTGTGTTGGAGTGATGGTCAATCTGCATATTACTCTTTTATTAGATAGGATAGAGGCCTGGTGCATGAGTGGGGGCCAGCTGGTTTGCCCTGAAAGGAGTCCTGGATCAGGGTGGGGGTGTGGGGCCGCCTGGGCGAGGGGCCTGTGGTGGTTTGCAGGCCAGTCACATCCCCTCATGACCCAGGCAGAGAGGCCCTGGTATCTGGAATTTATTTATCTCTACAATTAAAATTTTATGTTTGGTTTTATGTATCTTCTATAATTGAAACTTTGTATCCTTGAGTGGAGGCCTAGGCCGGCGGAAAGCTTTGCTTCCTCTGTTGCTGGGGTAACCCTACCCTGCTCTCTTCAGCTCTGTGGCTGCTGCCATTTTTCTTGGGATTTATCTTCTATAATTGAAATTTTGGTAGAGTGTCAGTCTGCGGACTGAAAGGTCCCAGGTTCAATTCTGGTCAAGGGCATGTACATAGGTTGCGGGCACATTCCCCGGTAGCGGGTGTACAAGAGGCAGCTGGTTGATGTTTCTCTCCCATCGACGTTTCTAGCTCTCTCTCTCTCTCCCTTCCTCTGTAAAAAATGAATAAAATATATTTAAAAAAGAAAGAAAAAGAAAGAAACATTGTATCCTTGAGTGGAGGCCTATGTGGGCCAGGTGTGTGGAAAGCTTGGCTTCCTCTATTGAAACCCAAGCCTCTCAAATGCTCTGTGTGGCTGCAGCCATCTTGGTTGGGGTTAATTTGCATACTTGCTCTGATTTGCTCATGGGCGTGGCTTGAGCAGAGTGATGGTTAATTTGCATATTACTCTTAAATTGTATTATAGCTTAGGGTATGGCATCATTTTGACTTATACACTAACATAAATATGAACTTGGGCCAATATCTAATAATGTGTTTTAAGTGGGATAGTTACACCTTCCTGGTTAGAGAATGTAAACAAAATGGTGTTATAAAATGCTAATAATAGGGTGTAGCACATAGATGGCTTTCAGCCAGAGGTACTTCATTTAAAAAAATTTTTTTTATCAGAGATTAGATTTCATTTGGGTCAAGAGTTGGGAGAAATGGAGGGAACCATTTGGAGCTTATGAGCCAGATTGATCAGGCATAGTGTGTATTGCCGAATAAAGACATTCTTCCACTACTTCATTTTGGTGACATTAGTGATGATAAATTCTGAATTTGTGCTTTGTGTTCAAGAATTAATAAAGCTACATGGTATTATATTTCTTTTTTATTTTTTGCTTGTAGGATTCAGTGGTCCCAATTTAAAGGCTATTTTACTTTCAAACTGGAGAAAGTAATGGATGATTTCAGAACTTCAGCTCCTGAACCAAGAGGTCCACCCAACCCTAATGTCGAATATATTCCCTTTGATGAAATGAAGGAAAGAATACTGAAAATTGTCACTGGATTTAATGGGTATGCACTTAATACTATTTTAAAGGTTTGCTCTTTAGATTTTTCTTTAAGTTTTGATGCATCTGGTTGTTTGACTATCCATTCGATTTAGTTCTGTGTATATATATAGTAGTTACTGATTTTCAGTTTACAAATATTTAAAATATGTACAGTATTAAATTTTTTTGATAAGAGTTTATTTGAGCTAAACTGATGAAACATGCTGGAAAGCAAGATCTCAAATGCAGATGACAGTTTTACAGTTTCTTTCATGCATTTGAAATTAAGGAGGGGAGTAAGGAAGATTAGAGAATGTGAGAAAAAGCAAGTTGGGGATTGAATTGCAGCATAGATCATTTGCTCTCCAGAAGGAGGGGTCTGTAAAGAGACATTTCAAAAGGTGTAATCCCACATGCAAAGGAACAGTGGACAGGGCTTGTTGAAGGCAAAGATAAGTTGTTCAGTAAAGAGATTCTATGCCTGCGGTTTGACTACCAACCATGACCTGCCCAGTGATGAATTTATGATCAGATCACCCTGTTAGGTTATATTCTAAGAACCTCATTTACATTTACAGTTCCTCTATTTGGTCATAAATCAATTCAAAAGATTCATTGGTGAACCTTTTGTCAATAGTATGGTCTCATCACACTAGGAGAGCTCATTATTAGGGAGTCTCAATATGGACATTGTCCTGTTGACAATTGGGGTGGGATCTGAGTTAAGGTTAAATTTTCTTTCAAAGGGAAGGGCAGGTAGATGGAAGGCAGTCATAAGGCTAAAAAATACAACTCTGGGTCATTTCTATAACTAGCATGATCTGAGTTTTGTCGTGTCTCATTTTTATATATTTGGAATGTAGTATAACATTTCCAGTGTTTCCCAAAGTGTGGTACACGTACCCCCAAGGGTACAGGAAGAGTTTGGTGGGGGTACGCGTTGCATCGCAGTTTGGTGGGGATTTGCACTGCACCATGCTTAGCTGTGCCTAATTCTATGTTCTCATGAGTACAAGGGGTACTCAGCGTTATGAAAATCATAGAAGGGGTACACATATGTCAAAAGTTTGGGAAACACTTATTAAGCCATGAAAAGAGGATTAACAGTTATTTACACATGTTCAATAATCGTAAATAGTTGCTTTATATAGAAAAACACAAAACACGTATAACTATTATGACTAATATCATTATCAGACAGATAAAGACAAAATGGATTCTGAGTTCAGTATTATCAGTCCATATGCATGTAGGCTTTGTCAATGTCTTGGGATCACTGTCTACCTCTGATGTCAGCAAGTTCTTGAGGAGTCTTTGATGTTTGTTGTAGGTGGAGGCAAGTGTCAGAGGCAGGCTGTGTAGGGTGAGTAGGCCAGCAGGGGGTTAGTGAGGGATGACCCAAATGATTGAATAAGCAGGCTGTGTGGGGCAAACAGTTGAGGCAGTAAGAGGTGATCAGGCCAGCAATTGGGGGGGGTGTGGGGGATGCAATTGGGGGCAACAAGGCCCGGGGGGGGGGGGCAGTTAGGGGCAACCAGAATGGCAAGGAGGGGACAGTTGGGGGCGACCTAGCTGGCAGCTGGGGGCTGTTAGGGGTGACCAGGCAGGCGGGCGGGTGAGCGATTAGTTAAGGATTGTGAGAGGAATGTCCTGGATTGGAGAGGGTGCAGTCTGGGCTGAGGGGACATTACTCACCCTTCCCACAAATTTCGTGCATTGGGCCTCTAGTATATAAAAGCCTAAGTGACCTTTAAAACAAATGACTGTTCTACCAGACACTCAGTGCAGGAGCTTCCCCCTGGTGGCCAGTGTACTCCCACAGCCAACCTGCGGTTCCCTCACACCCCTCACACCCCCATAGATCTAGGCCAAGGGACTTAAGCATGAATTCATGCACCGAGTCTCTAGTATACATATATTATTGATGCTACTTTTTTTATGCACATACCCACAAGAAGTCACATAGTGTTTATTAGAAATACGTTGCATAAGATTTATTACTGATTAAAATGTGTTCAAGATAAGAGTGCTTTGGGATGTTTATAATAGTGCATAGACAAATAGATATTAGACATTATTGATTTTTTTTTACAGAGAGGAAGAGAGGGATAGAGAGTTAGAAACATTGATGAGAGAATCATCTATCAGCTGCCTAGGGAATGTGCCCGCAACAAAGGTACATGCCCTTGACCAGAATTGAACCTGGGACCAACCTTTCAGTCCACAGGCCGACACTCTATCCACTGAGCCAAACCGATTTCGGCTATTATAGAGACTTTTGACTCCATTGTATGCTCTTGCCTTCTTCATCAAATATTAATTTAGCATAGTAGTTTCGGTCGATTTCTGGGTTCTCTGTTCTATTCCATTGTTCTATATGTCTGTTCTTGTGCCAGTACCAGACAGTTTTGAGAACAGTGGCTTTGTAATACAGCCTGAAATCTGGTTTTGAGATCCCTCCTATTGTATTTTTCTTTTGCAGGATTGCTGCAGCTATTCGGGGTCTTTTTATTCCAGATGAATTTTTGGAGAGTTCTTTTCTAGGTCTGTGAAATATGCAGTTGGTATTTTAATGGGGAGTGCATTCAATCTATAGATTGCTTTGGGTAGTATGGACATTTTAATGATGTTGATTCTACCAATCCATGAACATGGTATGTTCTTCCATCTGTTTATGTCTTCCTCTATCTCTTTTTTCAGTGTCTTTTAGTTTTCTGAGTAGTGGTCTTTTACCTCCTTAGTTAAGTTTATTCCAAGGTATCTTAATTTTTTTGGTGTGAAGGTAAGTGGGATTGTTTTTGTTTTCTTTTAATCTCTCTTTTTCTTGGTGTTCATTTTGTATCCTACATTGCTGAATTCATTTATTAAGTCTAATAATTTTTTGATGGAGTCTTATGGTTTTCTGTGTACAGTATCATGTCATCTGGGAATAATGACAGTTTCACATCTTTTCAGTTTGGATACCTTTTATTTCTTCTTATCTAATTGCTATGGCTAGCACTTCCAGTACTATGTCAAACAGGAGTGGTGAAAATGGACGTCCCTTTCTAGTTCCTGTTCTTAGGTGAAATGGTTTTAGTTTCTGCCCATTGAGTATGATGTTAGCTGCAGATTTATCGTATAAGGAAGTCTTTTATTATGCTGATCCCTTAATTCCAACTTTGCTTAGGTTTTTTTTTTTTTTTTTTTTTATCAAGAAAGGGATTGGATTTTGTCAAAAACTTTTTATGAATCTATTATGACTATGATTTTTATCTCTCATTGGTAATGGTGTTTGATCTTTCTGATGTACTGCTGGATCCGATTTGTTAGAATTTTGTTGAGGATTTTGGCATCTATGTTCATGGGGGATTTCCCCTGTAATTCTCTTTCATTGTGTTGTCTTTATCAGTTTTGGTATTAGGGTAATGTTGGCTTCATAGAATGCGCTTGGAAGTGTTCTTTCCTCTTGAATTTTTTTGGGATAGTCTGAGGAGGATAGGTTTTAGTTCTTCTTTGAATGTTTCGTAGAACTCTCCTGTGAAGCTGTCCATCCAGCTCAAGTCGTTCATTTGTTGGAAGCTTTTTTGATGACTGCTTCAATTTCCTCCATAGTTATTAGCCTATTGAGATTTTTAGATTCTTCCTGATTGAGTTTTGGACAATTGTATTTTTTTTAGGAATATGTCGATTTCTTCTCTGTTGGACAGTTGGTTGGAGTAGAGTTCTTCATAGTATTTTTTTTTTTTTTTTACAATCCTTTGTAATTCTGTGGGGTATGTTGTTATTTCACCTCTTTCATTTCTGATTTTGTTTATTTGGGTCCTCTCTCTTTGCTTCTTGGTGAGCCTGGCTAAAGGTTCATCAATCTTTTTTATCCTTTCAAAGAACCAGCTCTTGGTTTTGTTGATCTTTTATAGTTTCTTTGATCTCTATGTCATTTATCTCCACTCTAATCTTTATTATTTCCTTTCTTTTGCTCACTCTGGGCTTTTGTTGTTCTCTTTTAATTCTTTAAATTGCATAATTACATGGTTTATTACCAATTTATCTTGTTTTTTTGAGGTAGGCCTGTGGAGCTATAAACATCCCTCTCAGGACTGCTTTTACTATGCCCATAGATATTGGATTGTTGTGTTTTCATTGTCATTCATTTCCAGAATATTTTTAATTTCTTCTTTGATCTCTTTGGTAACCCAATTATTGTTTAATAGCATGCTATTCAGCTTCCAAGCGTTTGAATTTTTTGGAATGTTTTTATTGTAGTTTATTTCTAATGTTATGCCTTTGTGATCTGAGGGGATGCTTAATATGATTTCAGTTTTCTTGAATTTGGAGAGATTTTCCCGTGAACAAGTATGGGGGTCTATTCGTGGCTTTGGGGTAAAATGTTCTATAGGTATTAAGTTCATCTGATCTAGTGAGTCATTTATGATCGCTGTTTCTTTGCTTCTCTCTCTCTCTTTTACGATTTATCCAGTGATGCCTGTGGTGTATTAAAGTCCTCTACTATGATTGTATTGTTCTTGATCTCTTCCTTGATATCTTTGAGGAGTTTTTAAATGTATTTGGGTACTCCTGTATTGGATGCATAAATGTTTTCCAGAATTATATCCTCTTGTTGTATCGATCCCTTTAGTATTATGAAGTGGCCATCTTTATCTCTTGTTATAGTCTTCACTTTGAGGTCTATTTTGTCTGACATTAGTGTTGCTATCGCAGCTTTTTTTTTTTTTTTCCATTTGCCCCTGGAAGATAGTATTTTATCCCTTCACTTTCAGTCTGTGTGAGTTCCTTGTTTAAAGGTGGGTCTGTTGTAGACAGCATATGTATGGGTCATGTTTTCTTATCCATTCAGCCACTTGATGTATTTTGATTGGATCATTCAGTCCATTTACATTTAAAGTTATTATTGATAGGTACTTGTTTGTAGCCATTTTATTTTTTTGTGCCTGTGTTCTTCTCTTTTTATTCTTTTTATACCACTTCATTTAGCATTTCCTGTATTGCTAGCTTGGTGGTGATAAACTCCCTTAGCCTATT